GTAGAAATCGCTTTAGTTAATCTTTCTGGAATCCAAATCGGCTGCTGTTCTCCCTGTGGAAACACATAAACAGACCCCCGACTCCAGACAATCACTGGGTCAGGACCTTGGTTAATCTCTCTGGAATCCAAATCGGCTGCTGTTCTCCCTGTGGAAACACACAAACAGACCCCCGACTCCAGACAATTACTGGGTCAGGACCTTTCCATTGTCCTGTTAGACTATCCTTCCAAAGTACCTTGGGCTTATGTACATTTTTTGGACACATATGCCTTTCCGCAGCACTAAGTCCTGATGAATCCAAATTTAAAAAGTTTAGAGTAAAAAGGGTTATTTTAAGTTTATCTTTGGGGAATATATACCCCTTCCCAATTCCTTCTTTTTGCTTTAATAAGTACATTTTAATAGTTTGATGAGCTCTTTCAACTATGCCTTGTCCCTGTGGATTGTATGGGATTCCTGTTATATGAGTAATGCCAAATGTTAAGCAAAATTGTTTAAAAGAGGTAGAAGTATAACCAGGGGAATTATCTGTTTTTAACTGTTTTGGAACACCCACAGTGGCAAAATTTTGTAAGCAATGAGCTATAACATCTTTAGTTTTTTTCTCCGGCATGAAGGGAGCCCATCAAAAATCCAGAAGAAGTATCAACTGTAACATGCAAATATTTTAATTTTCCAAATTCTGGCAAGTGTGTGACGTCCATCTGCCAAATATGGTTAGGTATCAATCCTCTAGGATTGACTCCAAGATTAACTTGTGGTAAAAAGGTCACACAATTTTGACATTGTTTTATTATTTGTCTAGCTTGTTCCTTAGTTATTTTAAAATGCTTTTGTAAAGTATTAGCATTGACATGGAACTTTTTATGAAAATTTATAGCTTCTTCTAGTGTAGAGAAAATATGTATGTCATGTGTAGTTTTATCTGCTAAATCATTGCCCAAACTAAGGGCTCCAGGCAATCCTGTATGTGCCCTGATATGTCCTATAAAGAATGGATCTTTTCTGTCCCAGATTAGACTTTGTATAGTGGAAAGCAAAGAGAAAACAGTAGAAGAAGGGGAAATCCTACCAGCATCTTCAAGAGATACTATAGCATTAACTACATACTGACTATCAGAAAATAAATTAAATACAGAATCTTTAAACATCACAAAAGCTTGTAAAACTGCATTAAGCTCTACCTTTTGAGCTGATTGTTTGGGTACTAAAAATGTAAAAGTTTGATCAGGGGTTATTTTAAGTTTATCTTTGGGGAATATATACCCCTTCCCAATAAAAATATGGAACGCTTCACGAATTTGCGTGTCATCCTTGCGCAGGGGCCATGCTAATCTTCTCTGTATCGTTCCAATTTTAGTATATGTGCTGCCGAAGCGAGCCAATCATCAGCAAGCAGCTGGAAGTTTGCTGGCAGCTGGAAGTTTGCTGGGGCCCCTTCGGCTGTGGCTCTCAACACCCTAAATTATATTCCAAGTAGAGAATTTTAGAACTTAAAAAGATCTGTTATATTATCTGCTACAAAACATAATTTTGAAAATGAAGTGGGATTATGGACTATTGTACTCAATATCTATACCTTTTAAAAAAATAAAAGTATTAAAAATTCTGCAGCCTGTTCATTTGTTTCTAAATAGATTCATCATTTTATAAATTCCTCTCAAACTTCCTCAAGAATAAACTCAATGGACTGGGGCTGTAGCTCAGTGGCAGAGCACCTGCCTAGCACATGTGAGGCACTGGGTTCGATCCTTAGCTCCACATAAAAATAAGTAAAATAAAGGCATTCCATCCATCTACAACTACAAAAAGAATTTCTTAAAAAAGAATAAGTTATAGAGAGAAGTACTTAGAGCATGAATAAATAATTCTTCATAACTAAAAGTAGAAGACAATGGAAAGATCAGGATAGAATACAGGCTGGAACAAAATAGGATGGGCTCTTCATGCGTAGAACTTTTTTTTCTTGACATAAGAAAAAAAGCTAATTTTAAGAAGTATTAAGCTTTTACAAAATCCTATTCCGGTGATTAGATATGACTTAAAAAAAGGCCTTTTTGTTTAATCCCAATCTTTGTAAATTAATAGTACAATATTTACAAATGATTTCTCTGGCCACTAACAACCCTTTTCACTACTTCTTTATCTCCCCTCATTCACATTCACCCACACACACGCATCCATATATACACACACACACACACTATAAACTGAACAACTCCTCCCCAATCCCCACCAAGTTCCCAAAGACACTCCATTATTCTTACCAGAGAATATTTAAATTATTTGTATGTCCATAAATTACTCAGGAATAAGAGCATTTCTTTTTCAAAGAATTTAAAAAGTTTATTTTTTGTGCTTAGCAAAATGTTGGCTAATAGTAGTTACAGGTTGAATATCCCTATTTGAAATGTCTGGGAGCAGAAGTACTTTGAATTTTGGATTTTGGAACATTTGTAGACCCTTGATATATCTTGGGGATGAGACACAAGTCTAAACATAAAATTTATTTTTATTTCATACACATATATGCTGAGGTAATTTTACACAATATTTTTAGTGTCCCTGTGTTTTGACTGTGAACCATCACATGAGGTCAGGTGTGGAGTTTTCCATTTGTAGCATTACATTGGTACTCAAAAAACTTTAGATTCTGGAACATCTGGATTTTAAATTTTTGGAACATTTTTCCTATCTGATTAGGGATGCTCAACCTGTACTAAAAAATTTCCCTGAACTGACATTCAAATTAAGTATATACTTATTAAAGTTGGGAGAAAAATTAATGTAAGCAGCAGTTACATGGTATGCTCAGGACATCATGCATTTAGAAATTTATATAATGGCTTGTGCTTCTTTAGAAAAAATTACAACTCAATTTAATTAATTGGAAATATTTAATATAAAATACCGATATCCTCAAAGCATTATTTGCACATGAATTTAGGAAAATTAATTTTAATTTCCAAAACATAATAAAGGACAGTGGTATTTTTTAAAAACATACAAACAAAAAGTTAAGAAATCACAAGATGTCTTGTATACTTGCATCCCCAAAATTAGATGCACAAAACAATTAATAGTCACCTAAAAAAGTCTCTCCCCCACAACACACACATAAATTGGGAATGGAATATGCAATTATAACCATCTTTATATGCAATCTCCAAAAGACATACATCTTTAACAATATAAAAATGGTGACAAGATAACAAAAGCTAAGGACACTGAAAAATAACTGACAACTTCAATTCACATGATTTTGAAATATTCAGATTTTTTAACTTTATCTTAAATTGCTTTTGTTTAATTGATTTATTTACAGTTACAATGTAAATCCAAGAGATGCTTAAAACAAGATTAAAATAATATTCTTTAAAAAAGTATTCTTATCTGAGAAAATACAATACGATCATGTCTCTTTCAAAATATTCCTGATAACATTAGAAGGTTCTAAGGTGTTTAATCATATATAATACCACCATCATCACATGAATTCAATAGAACTGTTACCTGAATATTTAATAAACTATTAAGCGCCATAGGTTTAAGATCCATATCGGATCACAGGGCTCTAAAAACTACAATTTAAAAATATAAAAGCAATGAGAGCAATCTGGCTTTGCAGATGAATACTGGGTAAACTAAGCTATAAAATTATATTTTTGGTTCTAAATAATAAATAGAACTTTGAGGGTATTTTTGTTAAAGATATGAAGACACCGATTTTATCTTCTATACTTACAGAAATTGTGTATATACAGTCCGTGATAATGTGTAAGTGGATATTTATATAGCTACACCTCAAATAAACTAAGTTTGGATACATATATGATTTTTTAAAACTCAGTTAATTTTTTGTTCCCAATTTTACCCCAAACAAATGAACTAAATCCTCAAATTCCCCACATGAGACGTCAAAAGTAATGGGAAAAAAAATAGAGCAGAGCAATTGTGTTTAGCAGTTGACAACAATAAGCTGCACTTTGAAAGAGTTTTCATCATCTTCCTAACATGAATTTTTTTTTTACACTATACAGAAGGGATGCCGTAAATGGCATTTTCTGAAGCCTTGATACTAAATTCTTTAAAAAAAAAAATACACAGTATTCATACTGCATGCTTGAGCTGCAAAGAACAGAAATACAATACAATACGACTTGTCAACAAATTTGACAAGCACTGGGGCTGGCACCAGGGAGGACCTAACTCCCATCAACACCCAGTCATGTGGAAGTACAGATCACATAGTTTCATTATTTACAAATACATTCCCACATTACATATGCTATTGTATAATCCAAGCATATTTATCAGAAAAATATCAAATACTTATGAAATTTTAATTTCTATCTAATAAGTTTTATGTATATCACCCTCATTCCCACTCCATCTATGAGAGTCCAGCAAGTCTAATAATATATCTTCTATATTTTAAATAATAATGTTTGTTCAATGACTTATAAAACTACTGAAAGTTATTTTCTTCTCTGTGAGCTGGCTAACACAAATGCTGGTAAGCGGCTTTCCAGTAATCTTAGAGAACATATGTGTCATGTTTGTACAGATTAACTAGCTACTGCTGCCCTTGCGCTGCTGCAAATGAAGTTTCAAAATGAGCTCTCGAATATCTTCCCGTTTGGTCTTTATTACATGACGAGGAAACCATTTCTCCAAATGGATTGGAAGTTCAAAGTTAACAATAGGATCCTAATGAGAAAAAGAAAGAAAGCAATCACTTTAGCAGCATAATTTTAAATGTGTCTTAATTTCATTTTTATAGGAAATGAAAAATTGCTAACTTTTAAAAATAACACTTTATTGAGGTATAATTCACATGTTATACAATTCACCTGAAAATATAATTTATTTATTTATTTTTTAGTTGTAAAGGAACATGTACCTCTCTCCGTCTTCCTGTTCCAAACCACGTGGACGCGCCCGGGGCTGCAGGGCTGTGGGGCTGAGAGACGCAGCTAGGGCCGCTGCCGCCGCTGTCACGGGGGGCGGGGGGTCAAGACTCTCTGGCCCATCCAAATAGCCGCGCTCCGCCTGCCCATGCCTCTGCAAAGGGCGCGCACATGGCGACCCAGACACACTCCCTCAGCTACGCGGGGTGCAACTTCTTGCGCCAGCGTCTGGTCCTGTCTACTCTGAGCGGGCGCCCAGTCAAAATCCGAAAGATTCGGGCCCGAGATGACAACCCAGGCCTCCGAGATTTTGAAGCCAGCTTCATAAGGCTACTGGACAAAATAACTAATGGTTCTCGAATTGAAATAAACCAAACAGGAACGACCTTATATTATCAACCTGGCCTCCTATATGGTGGATCCTTGGAACATGACTGTAGTGTCCTTCGTGGCATTGGCTATTATCTGGAGGGTCTTCTCTGCCTGGCACCATTTATGAAGCACCCATTAAAAATAGTACTGCGAGGAGTGACCAATGACCAAGTTGACCCTTCGGTTGACGTTCTTAAGGCAACAGCTCTCCCTCTGTTGAAACAGTTTGGGATTGATGGTGAATCCTTTGAACTAAAGATTGTGCGTCGAGGAATGCCCCCTGGGGGAGGAGGTGAAGTGATTTTCTCATGTCCTGTAAAGAAGGCCCTGAAGCCTATCCAGCTCACAGATCCAGGAAAAATTAAACGTATCAGAGGAATGGCGTACTCTGTACGTGTATCACCTCAGATGGCAAACAGGATCGTGGATTCTGCAAGGGGCATCCTCAACAAGTTCATACCTGATATCTATATTTACACAGATCACATGAAAGGAGTCAACTCTGGGAAGTCTCCAGGTTTTGGGTTGTCACTGGTTGCTGAGACCACCAATGGCACCTTCCTTGGTGCTGAACTGGCCTCCAACCCACAGGGCCAAGGAGCAGCTGTGCTTCCAGAGGACCTTGGCAAGAACTGTGCCAGGCTTCTGCTCGAAGAAATCTACAGGGGTGGATGTGTGGACTCCACAAATCAAAGTCTGGCTCTATTGCTAATGACCCTTGGACAGCAGGATGTTTCCAAAGTTCTGCTAGGACCACTCTCTCCTTATACTATAGAATTTTTGCGGCACTTGAAGAGCTTTTTCCAGATTATGTTTAAAATTGAAACCAAGCCGTGTGGTGAAGAACTTAAAGGTGGGGATAAAGTGCTGATGACCTGTGTGGGCATTGGCTTCTCCAACCTTAGCAAGACTCTCAAGTGATACTGTCACAAGATAAAGCCCCATTACCTACAGAAGCTGCCAAAGACACCAAAGGGACTAAGTCCACATGTATTGATCCAGAGCAGGATAGCCACTTATATTAAGGATTTCCTACTAAAATATCAATATGCAAATAAAAGGCGTCTCTCTGCTAAAAAAAAAAAAAAAAAAAAAAAGAACATGTACCTTTATTTTATTTATTTTTATGTGGTCCTGAGGATTGAACCCAGTGCCTCACATATGCTAGGAAAGTGCTCTACCACTAAGCCACAACCCCAGCCCTACAACTGGTTTTTGTTTATTCAGAGTCGTATAACTTTCACCACAATCAAATTTAAAACATTTTCATTAAATTCCTAACTTTTGATCATTTAAATTAAATACAATCTATTCTGCTACAATGAGTGTTTAAGTGAAGTATAACAAACAGAACTGCTAAATAGATTCAGCATAACTCAGAAATCAACCTGGTTGCCCAGCACAAAGATGCATAACTGTAATTCTAGCTACTTGGGAGGCTGAGGCATGAGGATCACAAGTTCGAGGCCAGCCTGAGCAACTTAGTGAGACCCTGTCTTAAAATTAAAAATAAATAAATAAAAAGAGTTGCAGATGTAGCTCAGTGGTAGAGTACCTCTAGGTTCAATCCCCATTACCATGGAGGGAAAAAAGGAATGATTTGAACACAATTTTTTCTCAGCATGTTAATATTTTTAAACTATGAAAACAAATAAAACTGGGAGTAGTGGTGTACACCTGTAATCCCAGCAACTCAAAAGACTAAAATGAGAGTATCACAAGTTCAAAGCCAGCTTGAGCAACTCAGTGAGACCCTGTTTCAAAGTAAAAAGCAAATGAGCTGGGGATGTAGCTCAGTGGTAGAATACTTGGGTTCAATTTTTAGTATCACCAAAAAAAAAAAAAAAAGAAAAAGAAAAAAATTGATAAAGTCTTAGTGAAAAATAATCTCAGATAAAAAATAGAGAAATCTACAAAAAGGCCCTCTTTTATTCTAAGAAATAACTGATTCAATTGCTTAAGAACCACTACATTTTCCATTATGTTAAACTTAAGTGAGAAATTACAAACTGCAACTGCAAAGGTATTCTTCTGTACTTGAATTTTTCAAAAATTGCTAAATAAGGCGACCCTTAGATTATTTTTACTAATTTGATATTACTAGAAGCCAGATGTTAGGACTTCCATCTCAAAGAAAGAATTAATAGCTCCAGGATATAAGGCTGAAATGATGGACTGATTTCTTCTGGAAAATGCTAGAAGCAAATGCTAGTAGAGATTTATTGTCTAGTACTTTTATTAGAATTAATTTTATTTTTGTTAGGGTATAGTTACAAAGATTCTATGGACTGAAGCTATATAAAGTATAGCTATATAAAGTGTTACATGGACTGAAGCTATATAAAGTATAGAATCAAAATGTATTAGTAATAAGGCACAGGAGTACTCTAAACAAAGTCAAATCTATTTAGAAAGAGTATTAAGAGAACCAGAATTATTACCAGTGTGGAATTTAAAAGGGGGGTATTATGGTTTAGATATTAGGTGTTCCCCTAAAGCTCACGTGTGAAACAATGCAAGGCTTAAAGGAGAAATGATTGGGTTAGAAGAGCCTTAACCCAACCAGGGAATCCTCTGATGGACTCACTTGAGTGCTAACTAAAGGCAGGCAGGGTGTGGCTGGAGGATTGGGTCTTTAGCAGCATGCCTTTGGGGTACGTATTTTGTATCTAGCAAGTGGTGTCTGTCTGTCTGTCTGTCTCTCTCTCTCCCTCTGTCCTGATCATCATATGTGCCATTCTCTTCATGATATTCTGCCTCACCTTGAGCACTGAGGAATGGAGTTGACTATCTAAGGACTGAGACCTCTGAAACTGTGAGCCCGCAAATAAACTTTTCCTTGTCTAAAACATTGTTCATGTCAGGTCTTTTTGTCACAGCGGTGGAAAAGCTGACTGAATAGGGGTAAATAACCGATAGACATTAGTGTTCTCCATAACACGTAATATCTTTTACTATATGTTATCCTTCCTCTCCAATATTAAAAACATCAAAAAGTTCCAACTGCATACTATAACCCTTATGCTTTGAAAGCACCTTTAAGCATTCTCTAAGCAGACTCCTGGTCAAAAATGCCTTGCTCCTTTACCCATCTTCATAAATGATATTACTAATGGCTGAACCAATGAGCTGATCATTCAAAAAGCAAAGAATGATTCTTTGCCACTAAAAATCTTTACTGTTGTTACAGTTGTATAGAATCTCTGTGAACTAGAAAATAACAACCATATTTGTCATTATATTTCCACAGCTATGAATAAACAGGTCTTTTACTTTGGGGAAATTCTCTTTAAATATCATATCAACACTGTTCTTTCTTTCATTCTCTCCAATTCTCCAAGACTCCAAATACATGTAAACTACAAATTTTAACTGTTTTCACCCTTGCCTCTTACACTGTTTTCTTTACATTCTTTTTTCTCCCCATGCTTTCACTGGATACTTTCTATAGTCCTTTCTTTAAATACACTAATCCTAACTTCTGCAGTATCTAGTCTGTTACTAAAACCACTAAATACATTCTTAATTTCAGATATAGTATTCCACATTTTCAGCTCTAGAATGTCCATGTGATTTTTTAAATTTCATTTTTTCATTAATTTTGTTCATATTTGGCTTATTTTTTCTAACATAGTAATTAAATCATTTTAAAGTTCTTGTCTGCTATCTCTCGTATATGGGTCACTTGTGGTTCTATTTCTTTTTTTTTTCTTCTTCTTCTTTTTTTTTTGACTACTTGTAACATTTTCCTGTTCTTTGATTACCCAGAAATTTGTGGTTATATGCTAATAACTGTGAATAAAAATCTTCTTTATATCTTCACATACCTTGAAGAAGCTTTCCACATATTGTAGTAAATACACTCCACAATCACTGCTATTATCCTGTTTAGGAACTTTAGGGCATAGGTCAACCATGCTTGTTTTGCTGAATTCACGATGAGTTTTTCGTTTAACTTCCCATTCTACCTCTAAATACCTGAAATGATCAGTAAGCAAAGTGATTTTAGTAGGAATTGATCCATATGAATATTTTTATGAAGAAAAGCATCTGCTGCCAGATATGTTGTATCAAACTAATTTCCAAAGGCTGAACTTTAACAATGCAAACCATATTTAGTGAGCCTTCACAAGTGCCACTTTAAAGAAAATAACATGATTTTCAGACTAAAAGCTAGTTTTTATTGAACAATTCAACTTCACAACTCAAATATAAAAAGACATATTTATATTATAAAGTAAAGTAACAAATGACTAGTTTCATTCACATTCCTGAATTTTCCAGGCCTTACAGTAAATCACAAAAATATCACACACACACATATACACACACACTGATGTTAATTTGTGAGTTACCCTCACCGCCAGGTAATACTTTGAGAATCAATGATATTTGCAATGCTCTTTATAAAATTATAAAATTTGTTCTATTATGAATACAAATTCTGAGTTTACTCTTCATGTAGTCTTCAGAAATATTAACACATAAAACAAGATTTTACTGATTAGATTTGCAGGCTTTGCTTAAATGCATATTAAAATATGACTCCTCATAAGAGTGTTTTCAGTAATTTTTAAGGTAGTTTCAAAATTACTGAGGCTCTTCAGGGAACAAATTGAATGGTAATATTGTTATTACTTACTCTCGTAAATTCTGAACCGTGTTTTGTATAGAAGCAGCTTTCAAGGAGTCTAGTATGAGAATACATGGCCTATTTAAAGCAAAGGAAGAATTAAGATGGAAATACTTTTATAAGAACTATACCTAAATACATTTACAAAACTGTATTATTATTATCATTATTATTATAGCACATACTTACCTTTTACACATTTTCTTTGGTACTGACATACTCATTTCGGTACTCTGAAATAACATGAATTTTTATGACTTTGCAATTAAAACCAGTTTGAATACATTAATATTCAGTTACTCCTCAAAATGTGTCAAACAACTTGGAAATTAAAATTTCATATATGAGTTCTTTTCATCATCTGAAGTAACTAATTTCATTTTCCAAAAATGCAGTGATTTATTTTCCTATACTGGTAAGAGTAATACTTTTGGAGGTTTAACTTGGTCTAGAAAACAATCTGGAACTTGAATTCTATTAACTTTTCATTATAAATAGGAAAATTTGCCTTTACATACATTCTGTAACCCAATTTATGATGTCAAGTAGAGATACTTTTTTTCCCTCTGAAATAAAAGAAGCAGAGTATAAATCTGCATTAAGGGAGAAGAAATGGGGAATTGTGTTTTTTGTTGATGTCTGGTTTTGGTTATATATCTGAGAAACAAGAGGTCAAATTTAAATAAATTTCTTTAATGGGGGCACTCTCAGTATCTTTATTTTTCTAATTATGAAAATTATGATGGACAGCTAAAGCAAGCTAAACAGATAGAAGAAGAATGACAACTTCTCTTGTTTTCGTTCCCCAAGATTGTCAAAGAATCTTAAAGCAGCACAATTTAACTATGAGCCACTAATACCAATTCCTGTCCATTGAGTTATGTCCTATTTTATAGTTAACATTATATTCACGAGTTTTCCTTCCTTCACTTATGTACAGTACACTTACTTGAGAATCCTCGGCATTCAAGGAGAGTGTTGAAGTAGCATGTAAGTCATTTTCTAATAAGAGATAATGAGGCAATTTTGAGTCTTCATTGTATGTCTGGTACAGATAATTTAGATAAGCTTAAACTGTAATTTATATGCAAAGAAGTAAAGGAAAAATATCTGGGATCTGTTTTTTTTTTCATGGTTAATGTTATAAATAAAATTCAATCAATGAAAATAATTGATGATGGTTTTAGGCAATACATAAACCGCAGGGCCAAACCTGAAATACCAGTTAGTGGAGCCAATTTCCTATAAAAAGACAACCTTCAAAGACAGTTCATTAATCAAAACGTCTCCTGTTTTAATGTGATGGGTAGTTAATTGCTGAGTAACAGTTCTTCTATGACCAAAGAGTTTTGCATAAATATACTTTTGAAGCTCAAAAGGATCAGAGAAAATTGAAAATAATCAGTTGTTTTATCAGGTTTTCTCCCTCCCCACAATATACGAATA